TGACAGTTTTCCAGTACCCATTTATACTCTTGGGGGTGAGGAGAGGCACAGTGTTCTTGCCCAAGAACACAACACAACAACCTCGCCAGGTCTTGAATGCAGACCTTACAACCCAGAGCCCAGATCACTGTTCATGATACCACTGCACTTGCAACTTAAATGTTGGCTGAACAGTTTAGTTACTTGGATCCTTAACATCCTGTAATGTATTTGTCACGGTGTACAGTCTAATAACTCAGGGAAAATCTGGCTCGAGGCAGAACTGAGAGTGTTTATATCCAGAATGATAACTTGTCTGATCGTTTCTTTAATTTGTTATTTTCTGTGTGTTTGCTGGTTTAAGGCTTCATTTGTCATCAGCTCAGTTCCTCCAGCTTTGCTCGGAAAGATCAGCTTCAATCCTCCTCTTCCACCTCTAAAAAATCAGGTTTATTTATTTATTTTATTTGTTACAGTTAATGGCAATTAACGAAATAGAATAATTACCTATAATAAAGGAAATGCCATAAGGATGAAAACTAAACTAGGTGTTTTTTTTTACTTATTTAAACGTTGAAAATAAATGGAAATAGTATATTACCATAAGCCATTCAGTAAAAATTATAATAAGCCAGTTGATCATTTCTTTTTCCTTTTGGCGGTCCTATCTTACAGGTATAATTTAGCACGCTCGACACCTCTTTTTCTTAGAGGTGACTTAAGGTGTAAAGTAGTACTTTTTATCCTCCGCACTGAATTTATAATCAGGTAACTTATACGCACAGCACGTAGCTCTTTTAGGGGCGGTACCTTGGGTATTCTGCTGTTATGTAACAGTCTTCGAGGAGTATTTTCTCTTAAGATATCTTTTTAAGTATGATTCTAATTCTGTTGGTAAGTTTATTACAATTTTTACATTACCAATCTTGCTTTAGTTACGACTAACCTTGACTGTAAGACTAAGAAATTTAAGGTAGATTTTGTAAAGCGTAAACATATCGAAGGTATCTACTTAGTATGCGAACTCCGCTCTGCGTAGCTTAACGTGGTTCGCTAGTTAAGTGTAAAAGGATGACGAAGGTTAGAGATCGACAGCTCAGTAAGCGTCACCTTTATAAGTGACCCACACTTTCCTCGAGAGATCCGAGCTAGTCCCGAGGTAATAAGTTGTATGTAAGAATGAGAAGAATAAAGAACACTTCAACTGAACGGCGTGTGTTAGGAAATTACTTCTAACACATAATTCTTCTTTAAAGTAAGTCCATCTTACTCTCTCAAAGGGTACCAAGCAGTATCTGAGTAAAATTGCATAGCTGAAGAGATGTCGATGTCAACGCAACCATTCAAAACTTTATTTAAAAAAAAATAACAATAAAACCTAAAATAGTTGAGAGCGACTGACAGATACAATGTATTTGTAATTTACGTGCCCTTCAGTCATCGTGAGGTTAACGTTTCTGAAATTTGCAGGCAATTCAAAGAATTCCTATGGGATCCATTATCAAGACAATTACCTTCTATGATCGGCCATTTTGGAGAGAGAAAGGTAAAGTATTAATCCGTTTATTTGCCACAGCGAGTTTTTGTGAAGAAATTTCGATAATGAAATTAAGTTTGGCAACAGATTTTGTGGCCTATAAACTGACATACCTCGTTTGGTACTTTAAGATTTCTCCCCGATGCCCTTTTTCCAACAATTCTGTTATCAGTAATCCTTTAAAGGATTACTGATAACAGACATAAGTTGGATGGACGACTTTGAAGCTTTAATGTTTAAAAACATTAAAGCTTCAAAGTCGTCCATCCAACCTATGTCGTGGCTCTTTCCTCAACACGAAATAATTTAGAACAGGTTTTTTATGTTTAACATAGACAATATTCCAACAGTATTGTCTGGCCATTTTTTAAAAAGTTATAGAATCCCTGCTTTTTATTAGGTCTCGCAGGTTATTTTAATTCGGATGAAGGTCCAGTTGAAGAAGGTTACGATGATACTAAACCAGATAACAGTCATCCGGCCATTATGGGGTAAGTAATAATCTTATGGCGCCTGCCATGAGCCAGAACTTTCCCACAATACCGCTCAATTTAAACTGGAAAGCCATTTTATCCAAAGAGTTTGGATCAATGTTGGTATCTGAGCAATTGGGCACTTACCCCTCCCCTCACCCAACAACAGTCAACCGATAACAAGTTAGGGTTAATGCTGGGTGAGGGGAGGGGTAGATGCGGAGTTGCTGTGGTACCAACATTGACCCCGGCAGTTTTCCCTGATTTTGTGAAAGTTTGTGTTAGTGATGGTCAGATCTTCTCATTGTTTTAAATGATGGATGTGTCCGGTTTGGGCACTCTGTTCTGACCAATGGTAATCGTTCTCAGATTAGACTGCGAGTATAAACTCCTTATTTGTCATGTGGCACAGGGAGCCCATAACAGCACCAGAAATAAATGTCGAAGAGGACTTTTTTTTCAGCCCCTCGAATCCCTTCAGCTTGGTGCTGGCGATTTACCCGCACGTTGACTGGCCCTCTTTGAAATTGAATGTTGGTACTATTTTTTTTCAGGTTTATACTGGCGGATAAAGCGCGACAGACAACAACTCTTAACAAAGAGGAAAGGTCATATGCCTTATATCTTATCTTCAGTGATGATATTAGATAAATAAATACTTGCAGATAATGTCCCAACTCTGGGAATGACCTCACTACGTGTTTTTTGCCCAATCGCCTCATTAGAACGATCATCAGCAATAAATGCATGTCTTTGGGATATTGAACTAAGTTCTTTAACCGCTCTCATAGAGTGCATGTCCATTGAGTGTCGCAAAACCAAAACCAAAGTAATCACCACGGCCAATCAGAACAAAGGAATTATCTCAATGCGAGCCAATGAGAACTCAAAGGAAAACAAGCAAGCTGCCGGAAGCGCGGGAAAACACGAGTGACCGAGTCGCGATTGGCTTTTGTTGCATCAGATAGGTTGGGAGGCTGGCGCGAGTTTTCTGGACCAATCACAGTGTAAAGAAAGCAAACCTTACGCAATCGTGGATTATTGTAGATATTCATTCGCTTTATAACTGACTTTTTCGCTTTACTCAGACAGAAACTAGTTTGCGAGCAATATGCCAGAATATATGATACCTCAGAGGCACTGGAGGTAGGTTGCATATTATTTTTCGTCATTTCGTCTCTTGTCATGGCATGTTTAGTGTAACGAAAGAGGTAGTTTCATTTTACCAACTGACCACACATTGTTTTCCTCTCAGCCAGTGTTGTATCTAGAGAAGAACTGGATGGCGGATGAGTTTTCTGGAGGCTGCTATGTTGGAACTTTTCCTCCTGGGGTGTTAACTGCTTACGGAAAGTAAAGTACTTGTTATTTTTACTCGCTTCATAAGTTTTTAAACGCTCACTAGGGTACAAAAACAAGTTAACATCAACACTTAAAGTTATAGATGATAGATACATAAAAGAAATAGCGCTCATTTGGCGCGAAAATATGCTCGGATAATCATCCGAGGACATTACCTGTCCCGAAATGGGAAGCTCGAGGAAAACTGTTCGCTTCGAGCTTAATGGGTTTGAACTCAAGGTGGGGATAAATGAAAATAAAGAGATGATCAACTTTGCCGTGTCTTTTGTTTTTAATTTTTTCTGACATGAAGTCTTAATTCTCTGGTTTTTAAGAGTTTTGAGAATGCCTTTTGGTCGAGTGCATTTCGCTGGAACGATCACGGCGACACTTTGGGCCGGTTACATGGAAGGTGCGATAGAGTCTGGGGAACGGGCTGCTGTGGAGGTAAAAGGCTTTATGTAATTTTAACTGAAAAGTTTTCCAGACGGAAGGTGTGGCAAATAAGTCAAACTCCTTCCTAGAGTTAAGAAACAACTCCCGCGTTGTTGTGCTGTAACCTAACGGATTCCAGATGAAGCGAATTCGAAATCATTGTGTTTCGTTCTCTGGAGGACACTGAGGGCTACGCTTGTCAGGGCAGTCAGACGAAATGATGTTTTGGGGGGAGGAGACAGGGAGGCCAAACTTTTTGGATCGAAATGCTTTGTTGCTGTTGCTGGTACAGAAAAAAAACAACAACAACGAAACGGACAAACAGTTAACTTAACACAAAGAGCTGTTGTGTTGGGCTGCATGGTAGATGCTTACGCTCTCTTGAATCATTTCAGGTGCTATGCAGACTTGGTAAGATAGCAGAAAGTGAAACTAGAAAACGACTTAAGTTAGAGGTAAGCTAGCAAAATTCATGTATAGCCAGCAAAACTCAGCCCTGTTAACCCTTTACATCCAAACAACAGTATTTATACTCTTCATACTGGTCCATATACATTTCCTGGGGTGCTGATGAGGAGAATTTGTTTTACAATCCAGACTAGAGCTTCTTTAGTTGGTGACCACTTCCTTTATTCTCATCACCTGAATGTGTTTTTTTAGGGATGATATTTTAAAGAGAAATTAGATGCTAGACACTTTTAGGGGTTGAAAGGTTAATTTGCCCAAAATTACGTGACAATGCAAATCCACCGTTTTTTTTTTTTTGCCTTAGTTGCCCGTCATAAATTTGTCGTTGAAAGGACTTTCATTTAAAGCTTTAAAATTATGCAATATACCAGGCGCTAAATGTGATCACACCATAATGATGTCGAAAGGTTCTGGACCTTTGGATGTTTTGCCCTGCATGGCTTGTCAACAAGTAAAGTTCCACTTACACCTCCTATATGGCCATTTGATTTATCTTTTTACGGAAATAGTTTTTTTTTTTGCCTTTGCCTTTGCCGGATCAGTGTTCAGTTTACTCGTGTACTTATTACTTTTGTTTTTCATTAGGGTTTGGAATCTAAGTTTTTAGAGTTTTCATTTATGGAGAAGCACTTACTACCATCTGTGCCCACCTTGTTGGCTTGTTCCTCTCTGCTCAGTGGGGCGGTTGTTCTCTCAATACTTTGGTGGAAATATTGTTTAAAGTAAAACTTGTCTAATTCAGTTAAATAACTGTGAAATGGTCTTCAATTTGGAGAGATTTGAGCCCATATTTGGTATTTTGTTTGAGAAGCTTAGGTCCCACTGGGGTAAAAAGTTGAGAACAAAACTATCTCTACCCTTGCTAGTGTTCTATTTGTTTACCAAGAATTTTAAGTGCTGACAATTTAGCAAAGAAATCTGGAGAAAGTTTTGATGTTTCAAGGCCTGAACACCTCAGCAGTTGTCAAGTGAGGACACCAAACAAATATGTGCAATATTAATAGCCAGTGAGGGTTCAGCACGGGAGTAAACAGAACTGGCATAACGCTCGCAACGCATGATGCACAACGTATAACGCAAGTGACCGTGTCCTAGTTGGTTTTGCTTACATCTGATCAGTTGCCTAGTAGCTTAAAGTTTATTCATTGTAGTAATATTTTCAATTAACTTGGGAAATTCGATTAAAAGCCTCTGTGAAGATTCGACGAGAAATTGATTAGTGTAGATTGTAATACCCAATATTCGGACCTATAGACAAGTTGATTTACTGTAAAAGAGGAAAAAACAGTGACTTAGAGAAAGATGTTTTTCGTCTTGTCACGAGCGTGGGACAAAGAAAAAAATTCTGAGTCCCCATGAGGAATCGAACCTCAGACCTTCGGCTTCCGCGCTCCGATACTCTAGTACTGAGCTACAGAGACTTAAAGGTGAGCGAGGTCTATTACGAAGTTCATATGACATGCGTCCTGCATACTGCGAGGATCAGCAATGTTGATAGCGTCATGTTTGTCCCACACTCGCGACAAGACGAAAAACAACTTTCTCTATTTCTTTGCCGAGCTCAAAACTTACCATCTGCCTTATTCTATTGATAATGACTTATTTTCTAATTATTATCGTTTGTTCTTCATTGTTATTATAGTTTCTATATAGTAAGCTATGAAAAAACTTTTATTCAGTAACAAAGATTACAATTCGAATATCAGACAGGGGCTTCGATACAAAGATAATGTACCCTAAGCTTGGGTCGGATAATGTAGTCTAAGCTTGAGTCAGGTTCGTTTAGTGTGGTCACGAGCCAAAACGCAAGCGCGCGAAGAAAAGCGAGGTTAGGTCGCTCCTTAACAACCAAAGCCTCTATTGCCTGCGAAACGGCCGCCCCTTCGCTGATCTTCTCCGACTGACAGCTTGAAAGAGGTTACGTTTGAGGTTAGGCATGAGTTGCTATGGTAGTTTTTGAGGGGACCCGATGAGGGTTTTTCTGAAATCTTAAAATATTTTACTCAAACTTTGATTGTATCGTAGAGGCCCTTACCGCTCAATACAGGTTCCACAGGAAGGGTATCCTAACAAATCGATATAAAACGTCACTTTATGCCATAATTGACCACTTAATTTATAAAAAGCCGCTCGATAACACTACTAACATTGATTTCGGGAGATAAATATGGATTAAACTTTACGTGAAAGATTATTAGTTTTATCAGAGTGATCCTGCTTTTAGTGACCGTTTATTACAGGTGGAAGACAATACAAACAGGCCGTTTGCACTCATCAAGGTGACCATGGCCGCTTAGTAGAGTTGAGTGACCGCCTAATAGAGGTGAAGATTACAATAATTAAAGGGGAAATACTTGTGAAGTTTGACAACCGACCTTAATAGCACTTAATACGGTGCTCCTTAATACAGGTTCGACTTTATCTCGTGCGTAATGAGAACTTAGTATCTGGTATACAGAAACCAGTAAAGATCTCTAAGCAATTGTGGTGTTTGATAAAAGTCTTACAATGTTTAGGTATACATGTATTGGTATCTCATGGAAAGAAAAATCGCTTCCTTCCCTACAGCATCTCACCCAACCCCGATCAGCCCTGATCATAACTGACTACGATGCGATTTACTTTCAACGAAGTGTTTCAGATGAAAAACAGTAACAAAAAAACATAATCGTTAGTGTCGTATGTCTTAACATAGACGTTAACTACGTGCAATTAAGCTTGTCAGTAGTAAAATTTCTTTCTTCTTTATTATCAATCACTTGGTGTTTAATGCATCGAAAGTGATATGAACTGCGACTAAAGACATTGGGTAGTATCTATTGTTCTCGCGATATTTACTTGCAGTGGCGAAAATATAAATCTGTAATATTAGCGGCGAAGCGTAAACAGGGAGGCTCTTATGTGTTGGAGATCACGCGTGCGTATTTGCTGACAAATGCGTCACTATTATGGCTTCCGGTGACATTGCAGATTGAGAAGGAAATAAGCAACAACAAGTTCATCGTAAAATGTTTATCGAGAAAGTGGATAGACACAAATTTTTAAAAAAAGAAAAAAAGGATTTTATCGTAGAATCAAAACACAGTTGTGTAGAGTATCTGTAACCAGCAAGTCACCATTTTTACAAACTGTTATAGCCCAGGGTTTTCGGTTTTCTTGATCAAAGGAACAGAGAAATTCACCATCCAGGGTAAACATTTGCAGTCTTCTATTACCATTGTCACAGACGATCAGGTTATCAAAAGCATCAACAACAAGTCCACAGGGACACAGGAACTGTCCTTCACCAGACCCCTTGCTGCCAATATTAAATAGAAATAAACCTTCCTTATTGAAAACCTTGACACAGTCAGCAGTGGAATACAACACAAAGAACTTTTCCTGATGATAAAATATACAGTTGGGTCTATGGTCATACCGGCGGGACACTGAAAGACTGTAGCAATTGTGCACCGTCCGAGGAAAGGACCTTAATTTTACCGTCAACGTCATTACACACGATCACGTGACCATCATCATTTGTGACAAAAACAGTCCGAGGAGTGATTACGTGCTTCGTGAACTTTTGAATAAACTGGCCATCATCAGTGATTAGAAGCATTTGTCTTGAAGGTCCATCGTTATCAATTACGATCGTATCACCATTCCTTGCGACTGCTACTGACCCAGGCTCATGAATCTTCAGAGCTGCACCAGTTGGTAATCCCGTCTCACCTCCTATCGTCCTGAGGTATTTCAAATTTTCATCAAAAACCTGAAGGCGGCCATTCAACGTATCTGCCACAATAATTTCTCCTGTTTTTTCATTCTTTGCAATACTGCGCGGTAAATGAAATTCTCCTTCTCCATTTCCACTTGACCCACATGATTTGACTACTTTGTACTGATATGGCTTCACGTTAACTCTCCAAGGACTACCAGTCAGCGGCCATCCGTTAATCACAATCGTAACGTCGTGTCGCCCAGCACTCTTTGGTTTGTAATAGACTGTGTAATTGCCATCTTTAAGGTCTATGGTTTTTACTTCTTCTTTCCCTGTTCGAGATCTGATTGTGACGGTCACGTGTTCTTGTTTGCTATAAAACGGTTTTCCTTCTGAATCTCGTGTAGTTATTGTGAAGTTAGCCTCGGCGCCCTGCTCGGCTTCTTTTAAACCGTTTCCTTTAGCTTGTGACTTCGAATAGTCAGTGTGATAAGATGGAATATTTTCTAAAAATGAAACGACAAACATACAACAAAAACATTTAAGAGCAAAATTAAGAGATATAAAAACAAAGTAACTGAAGGCTTAAGCAACCTACACTAGAATTTCCCTGAACAGTTTGCTCACAAAATATCGGCTTCTTAATTTCGAAAGACTCCCCTCCGATTTGTAACATTCGACTCCCAGATTTACTAAATTTTAGTGATTACTTTCTTTCGATTCTGACCCTTTACTGATTACAAGTCGCCCCTGGATGTTCAGTGTGTTGTTATGATCGATATTGTAACGCTTAGAAAACACCTACATACGACATCGTTCCAAACGAAACTTCAACTTTACCGGGGTTGAATTTCTCATAAACCATTACAATTTCCTCAAATGTGATTGGTGCATTAAACGACGACAATGATGACGATGAGAAGGCGGAGAGGGAGGAGGACTGGGTGGAGAATAGTGAAAATGATGGGGAGGAGGAGTAAAAGGAAGAGAATGCCAACGCAATTGTATGGCCATTTTTCACGATTTATTCAGAACAACACGAATTGTCATCATCATAAAATATCATTTGAGCTTCTTTTCTCTTTCAATAATGACAATTTTTTTTCTTTGCTTTCGGTAAAATTGAGTAATATAATATAAGTGTTCAATATTTGTTTTTTGGGTACTCAGTGTAGGCAATGACAAATTTAGCGTACTTATGTTGTTACAGTTATCACGATGTACTTTCAAATTTTCTAATTGCAAGAAGCACTTTAGACCTGTACCTGGATTTATAACTTCGCTTGATTGCCTCACAGGTCCTAAGAAAGATTTTCTGCATCTGTCGTAGTCTTCTTGTCTAATAACAACTTTTAAACTGACATCTTTCAGATTAAGTTTCTGTCTCACGTCATCAGTCAGCATGCACTTCTCAGCCATTTCATCGAGGTAACCAGAACAATAATCGCTCTTCAGATTTTCAAGACTCTCCAGGGTGGGGCATTCCACTCGAATTTCTAAGGATCCAAGTCCTACTTCCTTTATACGTACATTGCACTTGTTTCTGAAACGGCCAAGAAAGTCAGCGAGTCCTTCGGTTTGAAAGAATGCGTTGTAGTTCTTGACTTCTTGTTGAAAATACTGGTTCAACTTCTCCTTTTTTACAGCATCAACATTATGGCTGGTGATTTTAACTGACATTTCATGCGATTCCGTAACGTTGCCTAAGAAAATTGACAAAAATTTCAAATCGGATATTTCACTTTACTCAGCTTCTGACGCAGACCATTGGTTAATAAATTTAAAAAAAACTGTTCTGTTTAAAAAAAAAAGTGAAGAAAACCATCAGCGAGAAAGGTGATTTAAACCGGATGTAATGTTTTTCATCCACTGAGGTCTTCTGCGAAAGTTGATAGCTTTAACTAGTGGTCATAAAATCTTTAAGCTTGGATCTTCCAGTTTTAGGAAGTGGTGGGTGACCCTTAAAAAAGTCCAAAAAGGACACTGTAAATTTGATGAATTAGTGCTCAGGTGATCAGTTTTCTTAATTAGCTTTCCATGACAAAACCAGACGTGACAACTCAAAAAAACGGCTGCGAAGGAGACTAAAATTTACCTGGACTAGCAACTCCTTTCGTTGGCTTCGTTGGTTCAAAAAACGACTTCCTACATGCGAAGTACTCCCCATCTTTGATAACCGTTTTCACCTTAACATCTTTCATCTGAGGGTTTTCGGTTACTTCATCAGTCAGAAGGCATCTCTCTGCAGTTTCAGTGAGGTAACCTGACTCGAAGTCCGTCCACAGACACTCAAGGCCCTGCGCGGTTGTGCATTCCAATCCTATTTCTAGCTAAGGCAGCTGAACCCCAATGCTTTGGTGCGTAGGTTGTAAGCATCTTCAATATGTTTAAGAAAGAGGCCCATTCCTTTCGTTGGTGAAAATGTGTTGCAGTTAAGGAACATTAAAACGTCGGCTCCAAAATTTTGGTTGGACTCCTTCAGATTTTCACCATCAGCATTGTGGGTGGTGATTTTTACTATTATCTCACGCAGTTCCATGACGGCGCCTAAAAAATCAAGAAAATCTCGATTCAAAAATTTCAAATCAACCTTTTCCCTTACTATCTTTTTTACGACCTCCAGGTAGGCGTTTAAACAGAGTGGCGTTTAAGAACAGAGCGAAAAAACTATTAGCTGTCAAAGGATTTAAGTATCACGTGATGCTTTTCATCCGATCACGTAGCTCAAATTAAAAGTAACGAATTGTAGAAGATATATTTTTTAGGTCTTGGTGAACTCTAAACAGAACACTTTAAGTCGTGTTTCTCAAATTATGGTATACACTACTGTCGCAACTTGGGTGAAGTGGCAATCAGTTGAAGGTGTCATTATTTACCGAATGATGATCGTTTGCACTTATTTCCATTCTAATCCTATGCTTTTCAGTTATGTAACTGAAGATAATACGTTTTTTGTCTGTTGATGCAATGAAGAGCTCAGCTCAGTGAGTCGAACATTCCCATCGATCGACTTCTGTCAGGAGATCATCTGATTCATCTACTCAAGAGTTTCACAGGATGATGGTTATCAACTCTAAGGATGATTTTTTTTTATCAGGTGCAACAAGCAGTTTAAGTACAGTACGTACCTTGACTTTTACCTACGCTTGATGGCTTCACTCGCTCAATGAAAGACCTTCTGCATGTCTCGTAGTCCTCTTCTTTAATGAAAGTTGTTAGTCTCATATTTTTCAGGTTCAGTTTCTTTTTTACTTCATCGGTCAGAATGCACATCTCAGCGATTTCATTGAGGCGGCGAGAGAGGAAGTATCTCCAGAGTCTTTCAAGGCTTCCCAGGGTGACACATTCAACTCGTATTTCTAGACCTTCAAATTTTAATGCTTGAATGCTCAGGTTGTAAGTATCTTCCAAACCTTTCAGTAAAGCATTCAGTCCTTCAGTTGGAGAAAGTGTGTTTTGCTTTAGGAACATATTTATGTCTGCAGAAAATTGGTGACTGGATGTGTCTT